GTCGTTACGCCTTGAGAAACGAGCAAAGTACCTAATTACCGCGCATTACAAGCTAAACTGCTTACAATTTGCAGCTCATTACCATCGTCACTAAGGGATTGAGATTTCCTAAAGACTACTTTTAGATAAGTTGAAAAATTCTACTGGAACGTGCTTGAAGATATTCGCTTCTAAGCTGGAATATTTACTGTATTATTACGCAGAGCTACATAGCTTCAAGGTCTACGTATGATAAAGTCGTAATGAGTTAGCGATCTTGGATTAACATTCGTTCATCTGTCTTAATCTCATGAGTGCATATCCTGATTGGGAAAACGGCTGGGCTGTAAGGACGAAAATGGATGATTAATGAGAAAGACTTCCATGGCTCGGGACCAATGGCCCTTGCCCAGATCGTCGATCTCACTACCCCGTCTTGAACGAATCCGGTTATCAACCCCGATAGACTTAACTATACTGGGTTCTGGAAGAATTATCATAGCCGCAAGTAGCTTCAATCTCAGTGCAACGTAATGACATAGAGAATATTGAAAAGTTTATGATGTGGTGTAGAGCTTCTTACATTCTGAAGAGAGTCGGTGTCACGAAACGGCAATGTGCCGACAGGACCAAGTCTTTTTTTAATAAATGAACACGGTAGGGCTGACAGGAAAATCTGTCGATCAGAGCCATCTACCATCTACAACCCCGGCATCCTCATCGTTAACGTCGTATCTTTTTTACAGAAGAAGCGCGAATGCGCGACGCGTCTATGCACCCTATATTCTACATATTATATTCACTAGAGGGTAAAGAAAAATCGTCGTAGACATGGCCTAGACTCGAAGAGACTATGTTTACCGTTTCAATGACTCATGAAAACTCGATTTCCTAGTTCAGTAGCTCGTCTATTAAATCTAAGAAAATGCTACTGTATGAAACAAGAAGAATGCCTAGGTTAATATGATCGAGAATATAAACGATAAAGTCATATTAATATTGTTGCTATGGGAAGTGATGACATCGATTCTAGGAAAGTGACCCGAAATAAACGTGACTGCTCATCAAAAAGCTTGGATTAGGGGTCGAGATCAACATAGGCGGGCATGGGTCTAGGACGCCGTCGGGGGAGTAGCTTGCGGGAGCCGGGTGACATGAGATCAGCATAGTACCTTAGCGTCCATCGCTTAGAGAACATCCCCAGGTATTCCATGTCAGATGGGGTGGGGTGAGCTATAATAACTCTGAGAAAACCAACAGAGTGGATAAAGCAATTTACATGCTGTTTGGTAGGATGTTCGCGGGGGAGAGCGTGTAGATTTGTTCTGCTACCCACCTAGAACGCCATCATATTATCATTATGGACAGGGATCAAGCTAGAGCCTCCGAGGTAGTTCCGTTTTTAAATACCTATTCGGAGTTAGTTGAGCATGTTTGATCTATGTATGTAATTATTGCTTCGAAATCTATGTAGTTTAACTCGTACTACACCCATACTAAGCCTCACGATGCCTTCTTAGTGTAGACCAAGACCAGCGGAATTCGTACTAATTAAGTTGAGCACGATACTGAAACGAAGCCATATACTTAGGAGGCGAAGCCTTAATATAGTACCTACACTATCTAGTTGCTACGACAAAGCACAAGCATTGGTCCAGCTATATACGGCATAACTAGAAAAATACTAATTACCTACACGAGTAAGTGTGAAGCTTGAACGTAGAACGTCCGTGCTATATATACCCCCTTTTCGTACATGAAGTACTTCCACGTGTAGTGTAATCCGTACAGTAGTGTGAGATTAATATTATCATTACTCGCAAGCGCTAAGAAACAATTACCGCGTGGTAAAAACCCGACTCGGGGGTAGTTCCTTTTAAGTTCCAATAAGCATCAAATTCAATTCATCTGACCAACTTCTCATGCTGGGCATAAGTACACAATGGCGTTAGGCCTCGACATATCATAGGTTGGGCGTAGAGGGTAGGTACCTATATAACAAATAAGGAGAGGGGAAGTCTAGGTACAATACTATCGTGCCTAATAGCTACTGATATACCAACATGTTCTGGCGTTCTTCTGGCGTTCATCTAGCGCGCCGTTATGCAAGCCTCAACTCAGGTTCCATGCTTCCAAGCGATCCGTACACAAAACTAGTAGAAAAAGCAAGCCATCTTAAGACCTCACGTGGTTTCTAGCTTCTCCCCGTCGCTTGGACCTGTCAATCCTACTTATAGCTTATTCGTTAACAGTTCTAAAAGTGCAAAATCTAGAAGCCGCCTTCGGACCTTGGTGTGGTGTAGTGTAGTGTAGTGCATGACGCGGCGCGATCGCAACGGCGGATGATTTTACTGTTGGCCAACTTGACGACCGTTATTCTTTACGAGCGTACATAGGTACATATATATATATTCATGCAACGGCTCGGCGTCCCGGCATCTACATATGTAAGCTATGGAATATCACAATACAGGTAGATGGAGTTTGCATATGTCTCAATTCAATCTATCAGGTATCATAAGTGTTAGTTAATTAATTACCTGTTAGTTAAAATTCAAGACAGTTCAAGTTCTGTAGTAACTTGGCTCGTGCCAGATAACTCGGAACTGGCTTATTCCTTTATGCCATCTCTTTACGGGGTGTCTCGTCTTGGGAGCTAGAGTGTCAGGGCGACAGGGATTCGTAGGTCCAAGTAAAAGAGGCGCCGTCCCAAAGGGGAGTAGGCTGTCGATCATAGACCACGTTAAAGTCAAAGGCATGACCGAAGAAAAACTAAAATGGTCGTCCCAGGGCAAAATAAACCCTTGCTAGCCACAGACCACCATGCCTAAGCGAAGCAGATTCCTGGAGCCAAGTTGCCGATCATTTGAGATTGGCATTCGTTTCTGAAAAAAGCCTCCGAATGTTTCTTGAAAAAAAAAAAAAAAAATGTATTGGCGATGTCATATCGTATATCGTTATGATCCTTCAACTGTACATAGGAACTATACCTAGATCTCACTAGTAGATCGGTAACACTCACGTCGATGATATAGGTATGCATTAGGCACTCATTAACTACCGTACCATCTATTAAAAATCTTAACGAATCCTACATAGAGCTAGGCGGTGTCTACATATGGATCTAAGGGTATTACGTATGAAAGCATAAGTCCTGTTTAATGAGGCTATCTCCTATCGCCAAGGATTAAGTGGTCCCTTATGGAGCTGGTCATGGACCTGTCTCGTAGGTCTACATACCGTCTACGGAGCTTGAGATGCGAAGGACCCTCTTTCTCGGATATTCCCATCCCACAGGTAAGGCTCATCTCAGCATCCTACTTTTAGTGTCCTATGACGACCTGGCAGATGCGGGCGGCTGTGGTCTGATTTACGACCAATAGATCCTATTAATATTGATATCGATCAAGCTAGATAGAATCAATGACCGCTTTAAGCTCCGTAGACCGCCTACAGAACCCCCGTGAACGAACACGTGAGAACTCTTTTTTAGGACATTTTAGGACATCCTCTAATCTTGACCGGCTGGTTCTACTACCCCCATATGCTACATAGTAGGATCAACCGCATGAGCAGAGATGAATAACAGATAACTATACAAAATAAACACATAAACATCAATACGCGGGTGTGCACGGGATTGTTCGTCTGTCAAGCACGGGAACTTGTCAACCGAAGACCTCCTTGTTGCAAGTCTTGATCAATGCTTTGTTACCGCTGTTCCCGAATAGGTCAGCCCAAACATTCCCCTCGCGGATAGATAGATCTGACAATCTGCAGCATGGAGCATGGTCTAAATAGTGTAGATCAAAACATTTTGGGGCAAGAGAGGCTGTCATCCGAAAAGAATGACAGACGCACGGAGAAGCGTTGCAGCTTGTGCGTTGTCAGGGCTCGTGGGGAGGAACGGCATAAGATCAGCTTGACAATCCGGTCACAGCACAAGCTCGGCAGGGCTTAAAAAGATAGTATCAGAGTATCAACAAAGCTTGCGGCACTAACCTCAAGCCTACTGTCGTCTCAAGTCCCCTACCTCCACATGAACTAAACTAGGCCCCTTGTCCGAAGCGTATTGTACCAAGACAGGGGTCACAGACCAACTATCCGGACGGCAATATGTCCCTAAGGGGAAATGGTGACCCGGATGCGCCATGCATCCAGGAGTACCATAACCACATATTTCAACGACCGTGCTAGCCTTGACTAGCCAAGACCTTAGAGCGAAGAGGTACTATGGTAGAAGGAGAAGAAGGGATGAGCTTAAACGGTCCACCGGGGATGTCCAGAGTGCAGAAGACCACGCACACGGACGTCTTATTAGACCCTTGCCGGTGCATAGGCGTAGCCAGTAGCCGTTTGACCTTCAGCGATCCCACGAGAATCCCAGCGGAGCCGTTCTCCTACGTCCATCCTTCGATCTCACCCACATGTACAATACAGGCCTACACTACCTACCTCACTACCTCACTACCTACACTTACACTACGTGACTACACACCATAGTGTAGCTTCTCCCATTGATACATTATACATATAACTACTCTAATACATACTGTACGTACTATCATCCTTGCATCAGCCCATACTTGGGGAATTGGGACCACTAAAAAGAGGCGGGCAAGCATAAGCAGTTCCAGAGTCCCATCGCCGCACATGGAACTCCAATACATCGGGGCTCGTCCATTAATAGGGGGCGCTATAAGTACTTGCCGATGATGCAGGAGTACCTTCGATACCGGCGATCTACTGTTGATTTCAACCCAGGTCTGCCGTGACCCACACCCAATTTGTGACAGTTGTTCTCCAGGGATTATTGTATGGATTGACGCTTGATCGTCGTTTATATTATACCTCCCGGGAAGATCTGATAGTAGATACATCGTCAACCCTCGTAACTCGTCCACCACCGACTGTCTATACTTAAGTATCCACACTCCCCGTACATAATCTCAAGCTCGTCGTACTACGAATCGTTAATCGCCTTTTACATACCGAGGATTCCAGAAGCCAATATCTTTTGTCGAATAAACACAGCAGCTAACTAATATATACGACTATCGTCGAACAAAAATCTCTAGTTCCTAATACCAACAGCTCAAGAGTCTTGAGTTATACAATAAATAAATAGTTCGCCAACATACATAATATTATATATATACACGATGGCTTCAGCCATATACACGAACCAGCCTGGTGCTCAGTACGGATATCCACAACCGCCTCCTTCGCCTCCAATGGACGAAACCTCGAAATGCTCTCTTCCTTCGATCTCCAACTTATTAGTAATGGCAGACGGTGGATCGCCAACGACCGAGCAGTCGCCTCAGTCTCAGCAAGGTATGAACGGGTTAAACAACTTTATTATTATGAAAGGCACTGTACTAAACTCCGGGGTAGCACCATCAGTGAAGGTAGAGACTCGACCGAATTCGGCTCACTGTGCGAGCAGCGCTCCTCGAGCCGCTTTACCTCCTACTCCCCCTATGAGTTCAGATGCATCCTTTGATGGCTACAATTCACCGTCGACGAGATCAGTTTCTGTTGTATCGGGACCAAACTACTATTACGAGACGACCCCGCCACTAGAAGATGTTCACCGCCATCAGATGGCGGCAGCGGTGGCACCTCGTATGTCCATGCAAGCTCCGGCATATTCGCAACCCGCTTTTACTACGCCATACTTGGGTCAAACGCCAGTACCAGCTTACTATCCCGCCACTCTTCCAGGAGTTCAGTCAGCTCAACCGCAGATCTCGGGGCTCTATTATCAGAGGCCATTGCCACAGGTTCGTCTAATTCATGGTTCGGTGGGTAAAAAAAAGGACATAAGCTTATCAGGCAACAGGCGTTTCCTCCCCTACCAGTAACGGTCTCTCTAGGGCCAACTCAGGGGGCCAACCCGTGGCAACATCATCACTACATTTCGCCATCCTCGGCGGCGTCTTTCCCGCAGTCACAAGATCGTTACATCTGCCAGACCTGCAACAAGGCGTTTTCGAGACCAAGCTCGCTGCGGATCCATAGCCACTCGCACACCGGCGAGAAGCCTTTCAAGTGCCCTCATGCGGGCTGCGGGAAGGCGTTCAGCGTACGAAGCAATATGAAGAGGCACGAGCGCGGATGTCACGACAACGGCAACTCTCACCACTAAAGTACCAGCCCAGAATCGACGTATAAACCGTTCGACACTGTTATTATTTATTGTTTTATTCCTAATGTGGACCTAGTCCTGTGCGGCTATCCGAAGAGGAGGTTGGGAAGGACCAGAAAGTCAGGGATATGAAGGATGCATTTGATACCCAACCGGGGGGCTACGTTACGAACTTGAACGGCCGCCTTCGTTTCTCAAAAGCACTCGCTGTTTTTATTTTTCGCTTTCCATCATTGTTTCGCCTACCTGAAATACCTATCCGAAATTAAGGACCGTATATTTTCGACTGCTGTTGGGATGAGTTGGCGGAAGAGGCGGTCTGCCTTTTGCTTACTGGGATTGGGAATTGCGGGATCAGGGTACGGGTTGCATTTTATCTGTGCAGGATGTGACTGTTCATTGACGAGGCGCATCGGACTACCTACTCGGGGCATTTACACCGGCGTTTACGAATCATACTGAGAAGAGGGATATATGTTGGAACATCCAAAAACAAGAGCAATCTTACCCTCGTTCACGGTTTTCTACGGATGATTTATTATTACTATTATTGGTTTTTCTTGGATATTTTATCTAGTCCTAATGTATAGAAAGAGGACTGCAAAGAAAGGGGGAGGGGGGGATGAGAAACTGTACCAACAGAGCAACGGGTCGAACCCAACGCAGATCTCGGTGGAGAGACGGGCGAAATAGCTTCTGTATGATGGAAGATGAATCTAGATGACTAAACCCGGCTTAGCTTCAGGCAAGCCGTGAGAAGCAGAATTAAGAAAAATATCAAAATGTGCTCTTGGCAATCTTGTTCCTGTGATTGTGGCCCTAAATCTCGATCTCTGCTCGTGGTCAAAAACACTAGCATAGCAAGGCAAAGATCATTACTGGATAAAGCATACACTACATACATCGGATCTTCTTCCTTCATCGCTGTGGCTGGGAGAGGGAACATTACCATGCAGGTAACCTTGTTTCAATGTCGAAGGGAGCAGCCCCTGCGTGGGGAAGGTTGCTCTAAGCTCTGAGCTCCAAAGCTTTTGTTTTGAGATTTACGCAGGGGTGAAACCCCAAAGACCGGAGTCAAACAAGCTTATTACTACGTACAGTAACGCAGAGGGAATATCCCATCGTCTAAGAGAACATAGCGTTGTCCTAGGAGGGGACGTTCGCCAACTAAGCATGGGAAGAGATTGGCGGCTCGAATCAAATAACCCCAGTCTATAAGGGTCTATTATACATAGAACGGAGGTTTCAACGCTCGGACAATATGGTCTGCGCATGCCATTGTAGGTAAAGGACGACAGACGTAGTAAGTTCTACGTGTAGTCATTGCGGCGCTCATCACTTGCGTATTATAGGGCCGAAGTCGACTTAAACGAGATATTACATATATGCTGATATGATGGAGATATATTAGTCCTAATATATCAAGTGTTTATTTATTCTCTTGCGGGGCCATGATGTTTTAGAGTGTAGCATTAACACCATTGTTCCATCTAGCATCGTGCTGATCTCGGTATCACCCCCCAAGTAAAGTACTATCCGTACCTACATAGGAAAGTCTGCTTTTTTATTTTTCTAGATCACCAGCTGCCCCCATCCCCCCCTTGGCGCTACGACACCATCACGTTCCGTTAGTTACCTGCGAAGCACACATGTTGTGACCGCGTTGTGACCCAACCCACACAACAACTCCAAAGGAAAATGCAACATGCTACCTAGCCCGCAGCGTGTAACTAGACGATTACCGCAAGCGGACGTCCCCAATCGCCTCGTAGCCGTAATCGGAAGTTCCAATTACGTTTTGGAGGGGAAGTTGGAAAAGGGAAAAAAAAAAAAAAAAAAAAAAAAAAGAGGGTAAAATACCACCCAACGCAACGGTCGTCACCATTCTTCTAGCTTACCAGCTTGGAGCAACTCCCATTGCATAGTAATGCGGCGCTACGGGGTTAGGCGAGCTGGAAATACGTAGGTGAATGCCTATTTCATAATAGCGTTTCGTAGATCACGGGCCTAGCCCTGGTCAGTCGCGTGGTAGATGGAGTCGGGATAGGTCTTGGCAATGCCAGGCATATGAGGCTTTTTCTGTGGGGGCGGTTGTAGTGTATTCACATAGAGGTATGTACATATATGTAATAAGGAAGATGAGAATTCCATTTCCGTCGGGGACTTTCGAGGACTGGCCCGAATGGGCGGGGGGACAGGGGTAAGTTAGTTGGTTGATGATTTTCATCAGCAATGTTGATCATGCTGAGATGAGGTATTGTACAATACCCAGCATGTCCATGCTTTCTTTCTATTACCGTACTCGCCCTCGTAATATCGTACCTTTAATTACATGAGTTGCTCCCTACCTATCGCTCACCTCCTTATTATATGTAATAATGTACTATAGATGATGATTGTGTTACCGCGTCTGCAAGTGAGATGGCAGACGCCCCAATCTATGTATTTTCTACGTAACTAACCTAGGTAATTTTATGTTTCTACACTTCGCATTATCATTCATTCATTTATTCATTTAATGTAGGTGCTAAATATTTTAGAAAGTACCTAATTCAACCCCCTTTTTTCATAGTGATATTTTACATCACAACACTATCTGTCCACCTGGGTACTATGTATGTACAGACCAAATCGTGAATAAACCATCCTTTTCTCGAATCAAACCTCTCCATTGTCTCCTCGATCCCAGGAAACCGTTACGCACTTCCCAAAGCGTCGGGGCTTCCGGGTAACGCAACGAGAACAGTAAGCTCTGTTGATCAGATCCCACAGATGACACCCTCTCTTTCGGTGCCGCAGCCTCGGCCCTCGAATCCCATTCGATACTTAACCATATATTCCATTAACCCGTCGCCAATAAAGCAGTTCCGACTCCCCCTCCTAGCCAACAGAGATTGCCGATTGCCTGTCCTAGGCATCGGACGTCTGCCCTTTCGGCTGTCCGCATCACCTGTCCATTGGGAGCCCAGCTCATTGGGTCCCGCGCCCGCCAATCTCCATGGGCCGATAGACCAATGACGTTGCTGTCGAACCCCGTCTGGATTCGAAAGAGGCAAATCTGCCCGGCGGGGACGCAGCAGGCGGCGAACACATCAAGTTACATTATCGACTTACACGACATATCACCTGATGTGAACAATTCGCATCTTCCTGCATACCGTAGTTTTCTGCCACCCAGGGATCTCACCTCCTGGTCGGCTCGTAGGCTGTAACCGGATTGCAGGGTGGTAGCAGACGTACATCCGCGGTATTACATGCTTCTTCTTCTTTTCGATTAATTAACACGACGCCGACTGATCTTCCATGGCATGCATTTGAATTATCCGCAGTTCCCGTCCTTCTGGGACGAGCCATGTCGTAATCCCAACAGGACCTCATTTGCTGCATCACCCCTGACCAGGTTTCCATTGGGTCGGCTACCCATTCCGCTGACACCGCCTCCTATTATATCCTATTATACATATAGTAACATACATTACATATGTAGGTGTTCTCGTCATTCTACGTAAGTCTTCCTTCTACGTGCAATTACTACTACGTAGAGTCTGCGTATGACCGTTAAAAGCAGCTAAGGAGGTTGACGTTACTTACACATAAGCGTCTACATACATACCTCATACATAGATGCGATGTCGTACTACGCTTAATTACTATGTATCATACATAAATGACCCTTGTTTTCTTTTTCATATAAATATAGTATATTGCCAAGCGAAGCTCTCCTTTCTCGGGACCATGGCGGTAGATGTTAATGATATATTAATTGCCTTTCCATTAATGATGACATAGCAGATGTCATTAATATCGTCGAATCAACCAAAACCTCGAAGATCCGATGCGGAGTGTAACGAATGCTTTTTTCTTTCCGGGAACTAGATTTTAATTAATTACCTATTATTCGACGGTAGACGCATCATGATTCATATGACCGACAGCAGTGGACTTCAGAGCCCGCTATACATACACAGATACATAAGCCTTTGAACAAGACTCCCAGCAAACCCATTCGGCATTCATGATCCACCGCCTCTTTCTGCAAGGGGCTGTCTGTGGTTGGCGCCCTGATGTACGGATCCGTATCCTGCATCGGGAACCACTCTCGGCTGAGATGATCGTCAAGATCCTCCACCCCATCCAGACCGTTTGAGTGTCGCTTAATTTACATAAAGATCCGAAGTCACAGTTCCAGACTACAGCCACCGCCTCATCGCAGTCTCAATACACATGGATAAACCCTCCTGAAAATGAGGTTTGCTCATGCATTACCTACTGCTCAGGGGCTCGAGACTGGTATCGAATTATATTTATGACTAAATGACTATATCTACATAGGTTCTGAAACCTTTATAGCCTGGCCGTGGCGTGGCCTACGTCACTTGAAGATTGAACGAAACAAGGAGTCGTCTTGTTTGCGCTAATGTAATCTAGACCTCGATTAGTGATTAGAGAGGTTGGTGAGATTGCTGAAGAAACACAGCGGTTGTGCGCATGATGTAAGAGGCACAAGTCTGATTCTGATAGGTAACTAATGGAAGTATTCCATCGGCGTTTAGATTATTAGTATTGTATAAGCCAATTCTCGGTGGCCACCCCTCATCCCTTAGGTAAGTGAATAAAGGCATTACAATATGTGAGTTACTATGTATAATTAGGTACAAATATTAAACACGATCGACCGATCCAACGCTTTAATTCCTATTATATCATATCTCTTATATTCCAAGTCTTAGACATCGTATTAATTTAATATATCCATTTAACTCACGAATGATAAATCTCTTAATGATAGGTAAGATGTATTATAACCAAGTATTTCGTACTGTACATGTATACATGCAAGGTATGAAGATTCAAAGTTCACGTTCCAATCAAATCCCTGCGACACATCCCCCAACGCAGCAGCGCGGATCTCATGGATTAAAAAGGCCCCACATCCCCGATAGTGTATGTATGTACAGGCGCTTGGGACTTAGAGCGGCCCTAGCGGTTTTTAACAGTCTTTAGCTTTTTTTCTTTCTATTGATTCGCTCCTCGTTCTACGAGATCATGCACCTTTCCATCTTTCGCGTCACACGTCACCAACAAGGACCAACGAGGAAGACACGCTGGCGTTTCTCGGCGCGAGAGACGCTATCCTCGGCCGACTCCTTTCGCAGTCGCTTATCATCGCAAGTCCCAGTCAGCGCGGGATAGGGGCTTGTCAATAGAGTGAGACAGACAGACAGAGACTGACTAGACTGACTCAAGCCTTCTCCCAAATTTAGGAGTCATGTCCGTAGATTAGACCAGTCCCCGGTACCTACTAATGCATCCATCGGTTCAAGGTTTACCGCAGCTTCGGCACATCCACCTAATCTCATAGCAGCAGCGCCGTTGCGTCGGCTAGAGCTCCACCGCTAGACGCGGCCGCACCCTGCGGATATCCGGGACAGCCGTCGATTACATTAGCGCGAGCTGCGACATAACACATCATATCGGTCGGTAAACCCTTATTTGGGTAGCCTCGATCTAATCTGTGCAAATCGTACGTTTTCTGCAGGGCTAGCCTCGAGCCGTTGACACCGCCGTCAGCCAAAAAGGCGGCATGAGCGCTGACGATGGCTAAGATACGAATATCAATCTCACCGAGTCTACTTAGTCTACTACTTAGTCTACATAGGTACCCAGAGTAAAGACTAAGTGAACAATAAAAAAAAAAAGCGGTCACTTAATCCTCGAGATCTGCAACTATCTTGGTTTCAAAGTCTTGGTATCTCACAGGGGTAAGGGGGCATTTCCCGTTCCCCCACGGTTCGGTCGGCCAGGTTCCGACGACGCATCCAGTCAGCGTTGTAGCTGATGGAACTGAGTGTTTTGTGTTTCGTCCGCAACTCTGCCAACGTGGCTCGCGAGAACAGCGAGCGATAACCCGTGATCTTTTAGGTCACAAGACTTGCGCGTGCTGCTCCGTTCTGCAACCTGCAACCGTCCCAGCTTCTAGAAGGACCGACTCAACTATTCCCGTCCGAAGGCTTGGGAGCCTAAGAGAGTAATGAGTCTCTGTACGCGGAAAATTCCGAATCCTTAGAGTACCGCAAACAGGACCTTTTCTCCGTGCTAGGTTGTCTCTTCTCGGAGCCAACACTCCATCGCCCAAACACCTTGATTTGATAACTCGTATTAGCGAGTCAGCGATGATAGCTTTGACGATGTCAGAACCGTCTCTTTCCCAGTGCGCAGGAAAAGGCAGGACAAGGGGGTATCGTGGCCGAGCGTTTCGTCATCCACGGCTCGAGATCTACCCGTACCAGGGTTATCTGGATCCCGGTCATTTTACATACATGTGTAGAGAGCGGTCTGGCATCGAATTACTCGGGAACTCCCACCGCTTTAGTAATACCTGCTGACGGTGAAAGTTTTCTTATTAACTGACTATTCTAAGAAAAGATAACTATCTTCAAAGGATTGCCTGTTTAGGAATGCAATAGGAGATAAGTCCAATAGTCGCCTAGCGGTATGCGTTGGCAAACCTCAAGTCGTAAACTGGGAGGCTGGTGCGCGCCTGGCATCTGGGAGCCTTTCCGAACCGGAATCCCTAGGCTTCTATCATCTCTGTACATAGGTAGTCAAGCAAGTGCCTGGCGGTGAATTTCTTATGTCCGCTTGCTAAACCCGCACGAACGTAGCAAGACTCTGTTTTCGCTCCTCGGATTCCGCTTCCAAGTCATGCAATTCACGCATCTCAGTCGTCTCTCGCCGGACAACTTTGATGCTCGAATAATGTAGACGATAATGATCAACTCGCAGAAAAGCGTGCGGACCCTTGTTCTCGACGGCGGTTTCAGCCCTGCTAACTCTCTTTCCCTGCCTCAGATCAATGCAGTCTTCCTCCCGCGTTAAGCTTCGCTTAGCACGAATAACCGGTTCTAGCCAGACCCTTTTTTTCCTTTCGCGACGCATGAATAGCTCCAGCTAATTCATCTTCGATCTTCGACGCGTGCTAGAAAGTAGGTAATGGGATTGGAAAAAGGAACTTACCGCTTCGTCAATGCGCGCGCGGGGGGCTGGGACTGTCGACCACAAATTCGGGCTGTAAAAGATACCCTGGCCGATCTCCCCAGGGGTAGGTAGCTCACACGATAGCTGTCGCAGACGTCGCGGGTTGGATATTTTCCGGAGTCTTACAGGGCCGGGTTCAGAGTCGGTTCGCGCTGGGTTCCGCACGAAGAGCCGCGCGAGACTCCACCTTTGTGTATGTAGAGAAGGCTGGCGAACGGCGTTGGCTTGATTTGCGAGGTTGTCATACATACGCGTATCGCGGAGCATCCATCCTGGGCTCTAGAGTAGCTTGATGATCGAAACGTAGGAGCAGGGCATCTTCGTGATGGCTTAATGCTGGGTAGCTTTGTTTCGGCATGGTAAGGCCCGTTGGAGCACTTCGTTCCCGCATGAATTCTTCGGCGGCAGTCTACGGATACGGATACGGATGCGCATGCGTGCCGGTCGGCGATACGACTCACGCGAGGAACTTGACGTCTCTTATGTCAACTATCTGTACGATGTGTGGTCGCCGAATTATACATCGTGCGTATAGTTGGAGTAATTAGCCTGGGCCTTCACCCTAAGAGGTAAGTGTAATTGTAATATATCGTCTACGTATTATTTTTCAACGTCTTCCGGGCGAGAAATGGCAGGTTTCTATTTTATAATTCCATCTTTTCTTAGTTGTTCTTATACGGCGAATAGATAGTCAATATAGAGTAAAAGGGTACAGCAAGTACACATCAATGCTAAGCTTAACGTTTTCCAAAGCTCTATCTCGTTGATACCGGCCTAGACTATTTTATATGTGCAGTCAAGTTAGAAGAAACTAGATATGATCAATGTCTTCCTAATATATGCCTCGAGGTCCCATCTAGATTACCATCGGTATGTGTTCTAGTAAACAGATACTGGTCTAGTAGTTCTGCTGGTCGTTCCAGTACAGCGTCTCATGGAATATCCTACGTACAGCATAGAGTTAGCTACTACCTAACACAAGAGCACACAATCAAGTTAAATAGGTAGTTATGTTTAGAAGCCGATGGTTTCACAGGGACAAGCCTACAAAAGCCAGACCTATACCAGAACATCGGAGGACAAAATAAAGTAGCTACAAGAAATGAAAGGGAGTACATACTCGGGACCAGTAGCAACTAGTTCCCAACCAAATGTCAACTTGATGAACTGTGTCAAGTGACTGGCCACCTTTATAGCACCGACGTCCGTCGGATGCCATTGCGGTCCGATATCATTGTGCTGCACTGGAGAAGGCGAAATACGTTAATACATATACCTATCTCATCTCATAGCAAGAGAACGTAGGCGGACAGGTAAGCTGGGCGGGACAAAGAAAAAAAAGGAAAGAAAACTTACTGATGCCCTTGGTACTAAAGTAATGCACGAAAGACTCGCTCGGCGCGTCCAGCACGGTCGTCGTGTTCGTCGTACCGTCCCAGGTCGTCGGCGCGGAGAGGTACTCGTCGGAATTGAAGTAGGACACGATATCTTTGAGCTCCTGCTCGTAGCCTAGGGTTTGCTGGTAGCTGTTGCCGTAGGAGTAGAAGCCCATCCATAGTTGCTGGGTGAGACGGGAGGTTTTAGTTATCTTGGTGTGGCGTGGGCAAGTTTTTAAGAAGAAAAGGGGAAAGGAGGAAAGGGGGTCGGTACCATCACGATGACTTGTGCTTTGGGGTACTTCCCGTGAACGCCCTGTATTAGCTTCTTGTAAGCGTCGACGTACGTCTCCGTGCTGACGTTGTTCGCGGCGTTGTTGTCGTTGGTGCCGAGGTTAATAATTACGATGTCCGGCGTCGTCTCCTGTTTCTCAAAGGCCCACGGCTCCGGCTCATCTACCGCGGGAGTCCTCTATTAGCATACAAGGTATTTCACCGAGCAGTCATATATATATATCCCTGCTAGTTATACATAGGTAGGTACCTAGGTAGCTAGCTACTATCAAGAAAATCTGGCCGGATAGCGATATGTATAAGAGTAGGTTAGGCGGAAAAGGAGAAGGAGAAGAAGGAGAAAAACACACCTCCCCATATCTGCGCCGCCCGCCAGCTCGTATCCGACGCGTAGAACCACTGGTGGACCTGCCCGCGCGGGTTTCCCCAGCAGTCCTGGTCCGCGACGCAGATGCCCGGGTACGCGGTAACGTAATACTCTGCGTCGCCGAGGCCGGCGCCGACGCCGTACGCGAAGCTAGACAGGCCCTCGTAGCTCGTGTACATGCCGGCCGAGAGGCTGTCGCCGATGAACTCGACGGTGCGCCCAGTGTGCGGCGGGATCTTGATCAGCGATTCGCCGGGTGCTACGTGCACCTTGTCGATTTGGACGCCGTAGGCCCAGTTTGTCACGCGCAGCTCGAAGGATAGGGGGTTGATGGGGAAGGTCTCGTTGATGCCGGGGGTGGAGGGCGAGGCTAGGAGGTGTGTGGCGCCTGCGGTTACGTTGGTCTGGGGGTTGAGGGATGGTGTCTTAGCTTCTAGGTACTTGTTCCTTTAAGATGGTATAGTCGAACGTGCTTCTTAGGGTGAGGGCTGGATAATACATAGCACGGAAAGATATAATGGTATTAGGTATTAGGTCTTGGGCAATATTCTACTTACTAGGTAGTACGTATTAGTTACTGAAGACATATAAATAGGGGTATCAATTTTGGGTTTGAACTTACCGAAGGTCCAATCCATTCCACCTATTCTGTACCCGATGAGTGTCGTATCCGTAGTTAACTCTCCGAATGTGATGGCAACAGTATCTCCCGTGAAGCCAAAGACAAGTCCGGGAGCTCTAGTTCAACCGTCACTTTGTCAGGTCCCTCGTTGACATATCATGTTTATCGTTTAAGCTAGTTATGGATTCAACAACTTACGACCACCAGGAAACCTTCTTGGAGTCCCATCTCCCCTTGTAAGACAGCTCGGTAGCATTCGCATCGTAAGTCTGGAAGTCGTACGAGGAGATATCAATTTTGGTATCGGGATAATCTGTGATCCTCACCTGGCCGTTCTGGAGGATTGTTCCCGCGGCTAAGGAACAGAAGAGGCCTAGGAGGTATGAAAGCTTCTCAAGTAGCATCTTATTAGCAGAATAACCTCGCTCTCAAGAAGTACTATCTGAGCGTTGCAGTCAAGACGCTTATTCTCTTTCATCTCTACCATACAATCAGAGCGAGTGGACATGATGGGCACTTCACAATTATATAGGTGCGACCTATCTACGATATCGCGATGAGAACATACGAGCTACGGGGTCTTTTTATTTCTCCAAATCTCTTCAGGGCCTTGATTCCGGGCGATGTAGCTCATTCTTCCTCGTTAGTGGTCTAAATTAGCAACCTAAGCCTTCATTGCAACTGCGCAATGCGATCTGGATCTGGATCTAGGTAGGTTTCTAGACATCTAGCCTGCTGTTGCTATGAATATGGCGGAGGTTTGACGTCCGCTGCTCGATCGAGACATGCCGGGGGGGACTTCTGTTCTGCAATGCATTGTAGATCACGGCCTAATATATGCGAAGCGAACTGCAGACGTGATGCAGGCCCTAACTACCTTAGGTACCTAACATAGGCAGAGAAGCCGAGTCAGCCTAAGCCCTATGTGCTATAGCATAGCATGGGAAGGATCGAGAGGATGAGATGTATTATGTCGATATGTTGATGAGGCTCAAGTTGGACCTTGTTATAACTTATGATGTACGTTGATACTTTTGACGTAGGCACTTTAATGTTCAATGTTGGTACGGAATTAGTACATTTTAGAAAGATAGCTCAGGTACCTAAGGGACTTATGACGTCGGTAATTCCACTGATAGGTAAGAGGTAAGAGGTAAGAAGTACACTACACACTGCGACTACCTTATTTATACCGTTACTTCAGCCGGAGTTTTAGCCCTACAAGAATTAATATTGCACTTTACATTTCGCTTACAGCTTTTCCACCTTCTACCCATATGGAACTCTTATTAATGAGACCATGTGCTACAAAAAGAATTTTTCAAAATAAAATAAAGAATAAAAGTGGCAATTCTATATACAAGGGAAAATTGAAATCTCTTACCGAGCTATTGGAAGCTCGGAGATGGAATTTTATTACACGATCCCATCTTTCTTCCCATGCTCATGGGTGCTCATGGGTGGCTTATAAGCGCTAACTCAACCTCTGATCGACGCGAGATCCATGCCCTTCAACGCAGGGGAACGTGCCATTTGTATCATTTGGCGCGTTGTAACGATAAGGGAAACCAGCAACTCGGCTCGGGTGGGACATGAGTCCTGAAATATTCAATACTTACTATAGTCAATACTTACTATAGTACTACTTGGGTAAGGTAGGTAACTATTCAAGGTAACTATTCAATATTCGAGAGATGCTAATCTGGAAAGCTAATCTGGAAAAGGTCGATATTTGTTTTTGGACCACCAGTGGCCTATGATCTTCTCCAAATGCCCAAATGCTCCGATGTCCAGGTTGCAATTGGCCCCGCCAGTTCACAAGGGTTTTAATTTTTGAAAACGTCGAACCAACTTACGACAGCTTTTAACTATGTATTCTGATATTACACAATAGGTGTCTCTCGGTTCTCAAGCTCCCTTAATTACCTCACCACCTTCACCACTTTACATACCCCCCCGGGCTCCCTTCTCAGGGTAACACAGAGTCGTCGAAGGAAGATATGACCACCGCTTCGTAAACAACTGAGGATACCCTTGGTCCCTTTTTAATATTTTGCGGGGAACCGAAGAAGAGAGAAACTACTGCAGCTGACCGCCAAAACACGGCTTGTCCGTCTTGTCCGTCTGGCATTCCTTGTCTTATCCCGCGAAGGATTCAGATTGCGCCGAGGAAAAGCAACAAGGTCTCCTTGTATGGGTGTGGTAGATTTGTGGTTGATAGTATGACGAAGAGGGAGTAGGTCGTTTGCCGGTTGTATCACCAAATTTCAAAAAAAGAACCTGGATACAGGGTGCCCGTCCCAAATTCAGCCGTCCATCTCCCCTCCATCTTCTACAAACCCTGCCAACCCTTATCCAGCTTCGAGACTCCAAGAGAGTTTCCCTTTCGAGTCCCCCGTCCAACCGAATTCCTCCTCCTCCTCCCAGACTTCTTCCAGACTCTCCTCACAGCCCTCACAGCTCATAATCTTGTTATGCTGCCATTGCACTAAGCTGCGATACTGTCCTTTCGCCATCCCGAGACAATGAAGCCGCGAGTCGCGGCCGACACGACGCTTGACAAAACGGTGTCGCAACCTCTACCGTACCAGCAGTACACGACGTTGCATCCGAATCCTCCCCGCTTACCACCGCCGTGCTCTCACCCCCTGCCATACCGACGCTACACAACGCTCGATTCCTAGCGAGTTTGCAGACGCAGACGCAGACGCACGAGCAGACGCACGAGTAGACGCACGAGTAAAACACCGTCGCCTCATACGGCAGAGCCATGCCGTCCACAGAAGCCAATGCCGTCGAGGACACGCAATTGGGCCTGACCGAAGAGGAAATAAATCTCCTCCGCTACCACCAAGCTCAGGCCGGTTCTTCTTCCTCGCGCGCCGCCAGCCGGGCCTCTTCCCAAGGCCGTCTCCTTCTCGATAGTTCAAGCCTTGCTGCGCTAGCACGACACCTTGACCGCTTGATGCAGCAGATCCAGCAGCGCATCGAGTATCTCAGCGAACAGAGCTCCGTCGTGACTATGCAGCAGTATGACCACGCAGGCAACCTGGTGGACAATGCCGATGCTGAAATTGCGCGCTTTCAGGGTATTATGGCTCAGATCGACGAGCTTGAGCTCGACTTTGATCGCATCGCCCACATTAGAGACATCGTAAGGGATTACCGACAACGAGTCGAGAATCTCGGACGCGAACTCGAGAGCGCATCACGTCGAGAACATCATCACCACTCTCATCGTCACAGCCATTCGCATCGACAAGAAGGCACCTCTTCCGGTCGCCGACATAGACACTAAAAATGGTTATTAAAATGGAGAAAACCTAGCTGCTATCCCGTGGATCGGGGTATTAGAATGCAATTCCGCTTCGGGAGGGAGAAGGGCTTCGAAGCCCACTCGGTTTACAGTCTTTAATGGAAAAATTGCTGCTGGACGCAGAGAAAAGGGGCATCAAAATTTTATGGCACGGGCGAATAGAAGCACAAGGTCACACGACTATGGGGGAACGACCGAGGTACTGAGTCGATTGCTACCTCGGACGCACCGGCGGGTAACCATAGCACCGCCTCGGGAAGGCAATGTCGATGTTTGAGGAGGCGGAACACGCTTCTCTACGGCTGACAGGGTGCTATATGGAAGAAAAAAACAAAATATCTACTGCTTTCTCATACCATATTTATCGAAGATGAACGGAGCCTCGCGGCTGGACAAGAAGGGGATAGCCTCACGGCTTACTTTTTTCTGGGGACTTCTACGGCGTTGGTGGTTTTTCTTGCCGCTTATCATTTATACTATTTTCTTCTTCTTCACAATACCCCCTTTGTCACGAGATTGGATATCCCTGCGAGTAAGCGAGCAAAATATGCTTATACACTTTTTTTTTAAAAAAAAAATCTATTCGTGTATCTCTTATCATGTTATATTATATCGTTGGCTGCGCGTCGTCATTACGGAAAGATACCTCTGGTTGGGCTCGTCGCTTGAAAATATGCCTTTTTGTATACAGATAATGTTCGTTCTAAAAAGCTTTGGGAGAAAAGAAACGCCTCGTTGTTCGTGGGCTCTTTATTATTGTTGCTGTTGCTGTTGTTGTTGAAATACCGGGTGTTGTGTGCGGATTTAGGGGTAAATGCTATGTTAGGTAGCTTACATTAGTGATACTATGATATTCATATCAATATGCGGTTCGCTGCTAGCCCCTTTATCTCGCGCCTCGACACAATGAGCATAACAGGTTGCTCAAATAGCAACAGCTGGAGAGGGAATTCGTAGATGTTTCGGAATGTCCGGTATTAAGACGGCATCAGAAAACCAGACAATCAATCAGCCTGACAGGTAGGTACCTACCTTGCGGGAATTGTTTCGGTGTGCATAAAGGATACTTACTTACCTACCTACCTACATACTGTACCTCCTCGACGCCGACTAACTCCCCGAGAAGGATTCCCGGATATCAGGAATGGAAACGAGGGTATCTCGGTAAACTACCATAGGTATATCATCCATGATGCTTCTCAACTACGACCTTACCCACCCTTTTTTCTCTCTTCTGTCTGGGTTATATTACGCGACTGTTTTCAAGGTACCTATCTATCTATCTATCTATCTATCTCACTCTTACATATACATACCTAATAAATATCAACTACCTATACCATTGTGGTTGGTAGTTTAATACCGTACTTCCCAATATTATTCCAGGTTAAAAGTACCTGACAGATGGGACTGATAGACGTCGATATATGTGTGTGTATGTGTATGTGTGCGTGTATGTGTGTGCGTTGCTTACCGGACATAGTATTAAGTAAGCCCTTCGGGGCGTTATGGATATATATATATATATATATAGGTATATAAGGTACCTATATATGATGTGCGCATGGGTTCATATTAACTAGGACTAAAGGTGCCCCGTGTGTAAAGCCGTATTCGTAGGTCCGCACTGGTATATATATCGGGGGTCATAACAAATGCATTCTGAGGGATATTTGCTATGATACATACGATGGACAAGACCAAGACATCTCAAAAAAGGGCGATATAACAACACACTTGAGTTTTATGTATCTTCGTTTGGATTTCATTCGCTACTCGATTAGTAAGTAGCCTTCTTATGAGAGGTAGATACACTAACCTACCTAGATAAGTATTCATTGCTCGCTCGCTGCTAGGTAATAAGTTGTGTACCGCACATAAACTACCTCCTATTCCCACATTGTTCCCTCTCCTAGAAAGAACCCAACATATTTGCCTGCCTGTCCGTCTGTTGAAAGCGTATTCCAAGGCCAACGCATCGCTCGCTACACCTCCCTTCCAATCATATATATGCTAGCTACCTCTTCCCCATCGCACCACCAACAAATACTTCTTCAAAATCCACGTACTTGATCTTCCCCCTTACCTCCTGGGGTAGATCTTCTTCCGTGACCAAGCCCAACTTGACGCAGTCGCCAAGGAAAAACATAGCGCGGTCCTGCGCGTACGCAAGGTAATCGAACTCGGCTGCGTCACCCGCTTCTTCCTCTGGTGCTGCGATAGCTGTCTGCTGTACGACTCCCTCCACATCATCTGGAACCTTCTCATCGAACCCGGGTATCTTGGCCTGCATGATGCCCCAAGCGACCCAGTGGGCGCTGTTTGCGACGCGCCAGATGCGTGTCTCTTCCATTAATGCGTCAACTTGGGTGTCGGCCTGCTCTTCGCGACGGCGATCCTCTTCTTTCCAGCCGCCCGGCGGCGCACGCGAGTCTAGCATGAACTCCCGGATCGAGCTTGTGGAGCTAAGGCTTGTAGCAACTAGGCCGGGCGTGCTGGGCTGTAAAGTCGGGGTCGCTAGGGGCGTCAAGTTCGGCGTCGAAGCACCCGGATGCGGAAACTCGGGCCGGTGGTTGACATACGCCCGGATGAAACGACGTTGCTCTTCCGGTGTGGGATACTTCGTCGTATCGCACGCAAAAGGGGCATCCTCGTCGTGGTAATTATAACACCATTCCGTGAAGTGGTTTGCAAATTCTAAACCTCTCGTGTTGGCAGCCGAGTACTCAAAGTCTATGACCACGAGCTGCTTATGTTCATAATTGGGTTGAAGTAAAGGCGACTTCTTATCGTCGGGCCGGACGCGTAAGATATTGCCATATTGAGTCTACCGCAGATTAGTATAGAATTTTAGAATATTAAGTTGGACATATGCTCTTACATCACTATGTGCGAACACCAGACTCTCCCGTATAGCACGGGAGCCGCCATAGTAATCGTCCAAGAATCTCCGATACTTATCTACCAGCTCCTTAAACACAGCCCACTCAACTCCACAGACAAGACCTCGCAGCTTCCATGTATCTGCTGGGCCCCTGACGGGACCAGGGTTACCAGAGAGGATTTTTCGATCCAAGTAGGTAATCACACGTGAAGTTCTATTGAGCCAAGTATCCCAATTTTTCAGAACCATAGGCCCGCCATCCCTTTCCCTGTCCAGGAGCTCTATTCCATCGTGTAACTCTCTCATTCTCTTGGCGATCTGCTTCGACGTATCTGGATCTCTGATATCGTCTGCAGTAAGAGTGACAGCGTTAAGGTATTGCTCGAACCGGCCGTTAGTAAATGTCCCCAACAAACGAGGCCCAATTTTCTTCTTCGCAAGCCTTCGTAACACATTTAATTCGTTCTCCCTGTCGATGATATGGTCGGCTTGGGGACCATAAATTCTCAATAATAATTTCGCGGGGGTTTTCTTATATCCTTCGCCTGTCGCCAATAGGTTATCTGGCGGCGAGACAACATAGACAGCATTCGTCAACGCCCCACTGAGGCGCGTCACGTCGATACTCTCTCCACTATCCAGAGGAACCCTTCTCCAGCCCTTGAGCCTTAGGGTATGAGCCAACTTGATGATTTCATTCTTGAAGGTGATCCAAGCTCTCCGCTCCTTCTCCTCTTTCTTACTCGGAAAAGAAGAAACATCATCCGTGGAAGAAGGTTTCCCCCCAGAATAGCCTAATGTTTTGGAATTATCGAGAACTGCGTCACATGTTGGAACCAAAATATCGCCGTCATGATACTCTGTGTCGGATGAGATCGTTCGATGCATAGTGGCGGATCTTTTCCGCGATAACTTCTTCCCAAACTTTGGGTTATAGTGCGGAATTCCATGGAGACCCAAGGCATTCATGCCATCGTCAACAATCTTTTGGAGTCTCTCAAAAGATGTGTCACTAGATTGGGAATCAATAGAGTACGCCCTAGCTCTCTCGGACGGCTGCTGCGTGTCGCTTTTGTCGGCATCATCTTTGGCGCATTTCCGTCTGTTCGAATGAACCCTCCTCGACCGCCTATTTTGTCTCTTAACTCGCTCATGTTCTAACCAATCGGCGACCTGAGCAACAAATCTATCTAATTGGTGATGATGACGATGATGAGAATGCGAACGTCCACCATCTTGCGGATTGTGATGAGGGGACTGGCTGTCAGCATGGCTACTTTGTGGCTCTAAACTGTTCTGACTTTGGAGCGAAGTCCTAGAAGAGGTGTGGTCTAACATGGGTGGACGGCCGCTCAAGCGTTTCGCAAGTCCAGCCGAATATTGTCTTTTAGGGTGTATTTCCTCTAAATTGTCCTGATCCGGTTCAGGTTCAGCTATCTGTACGGCTAAGATAGAGTAAGCATAGTGTGACAGTAAGGGATAAAATTTGCGGACAGCAGAAAGCACACGAGAGCTTCCTCATGGGCTTCCACGAATGGATACCTGCGTTAATTTTTTTCTTTTTTTCTTTTTTTTTTTTCTATTTTAGATTATCTTATATACCGAGCCTCGTTTACTTGACGCTTGGCACATGGATGCGTATGTCCTCGAGTTCGGCGATCGCGATACTCTCCAGTCTAGAACTACCCACTGCCTTTTCCAGTAAAAAGGGCTGCATATGCAGAATCCATCCAGGCAGCAAGGTAATACAGATTACCATCAAGACCTCACGCGACCAGATAGCTTAGTGAAAAGGCGGAGGACATGAGGGACATAGTAGCTCCCGACGGTGAAAGGTAAAGATAATTAAACTAACCAACCTTTTGCACTTATGACAGTATTTTGAAAAGACGGCCTCTCCAGGTCATCGTCCTGCTTCAAGACAGACCGGAGCGGTTGCCCCTCGCCCGTGAGGGTCGGCGTAGACGTAGACATGTCGAAAGATCTCCAAATAAATGAGTGGCAAATGGGGGGGATGATGGTATGTATGTGTTTAGACCAGTTATAGAAAGCTAGTGATAGATAGGTTTCTTTTGTTAAAGATAAAAGATAAAGGTTAGTTGATATACGGCATATGGCACTTGGCATAGGTAATAGGGGAGCAAAACAGGCTTTGTTTTGTGCGAGTTGTGAATGCGAAAGATTGTTAAGAAGATGAATTGATAAGAAGTCGCATATCAAGAAAATAATAGGTAATAGAAAAAAAGTATTGTCAAATAGGGTAAGTGCCAGGGCTATCGGGTAGTCGCGAATCCGCAGTATCGGGAACCCCTTGCAGCATACGTCGCAGGAAATGTACCCTTATGCTGCCTTATGATAACCTTAAATTAATTGCGAAAGGCAGTTGCTTCCGTTCTAAGGATAATGGGGTGTTAGGTCTGTGTAAACGATAGGTACCATATATTAAAATCTGGATCGTACAACGGCAAGGTGATGTTAGAAACCTCATATCATAATAATGCGGTAAAAATCTACGATTGGCGGCTGTCGGGTCTCTGAACATTGAACGCTCGAGGCATACTGACGTTCTAGAATTCCACCTCTTAGACGCATTTCTAGAAGCACGTGCTAGACCTGAATGACGTAATAACATGTACATAGATAACGAAGGATTACCTAAGGTATACATAGGTTACCTACTATGTACAGCGTGACAGCTCAGCTACGTGTAACCTTCCTCATAACTCCTTGAAAGCGTCGTACAACTAATGAATCAAGCTACCGGTTATAATGTCTTGACTTGAAATTTGAATGGGTTGTTACTCATCTCGGGTTTCAAGAATTATGTAAGAGGGGAGGTCCATATAGGTAATAAGAGTGACAAGCTGACAACTACATATGCTTAAAAAAGTATAATAGTAATCTATCTTCCAATAACTATGTCCTTATGTACGAACAAACTACAGTACATCACTATTAAATTTGATTGGTTGGGCTTTTTGTACTATTCTTACAGGAGTATGTTTTAAAGCTTTTTAAAGTCTTGTTTGTTGATATAAGTGAAAACATGTACTGTAGCTAGTTCGTACTTAAGGACATATCTAAAATATAACTGGCTTATAGGTACACGTCAAATGGAAGTCTTAAAATGCAAGATCTTTTAATTTATACGAATAGGTAATTTCATTCTAGGTAAACAAGTATTTCTTTATAATAACTAGGTAGCCAAGGTGATATAAATTCTAACCCTTAATTTTATATGAAAGAATAATCGTCTCATATATTAAGGGGTTGTAATGACTTAAACATAAAAAGGTCTTCGCCGGACCGTATATACTTAAGCAATATTTATACCTTATGGACTTACTTTAACCAAGCCATTTATAATTCAAGGCTCATTAATAACAGTTAAGGAAGGCAAGACCAATCTTCATACAGTAAAAGAAGTAATAATAGAAAGAAATCGGCATAACAACATATACATTTAAAGCCCGCCGGCGACGTAATATGTCAATATAAATTAACCATAGTCTCCTTAATCTCAACCTTTACACATAGTTCCACAGCTTCACTTGATAAGCAATGTCACATAACTATATTCATACTCATACTACCCCCTCCCACACACACCCCTCCATCAAATCCTCTCCCTCCACCCCTCCTGCTCCAACGCCCACTCCACCGCCCCCTTGACATCATCAACAATAGCCCCCGGCCTAAACACCGGATCCCCCCCTCGTTCCGGGCTCCAGACCCCCGTACGCACAAGCACCGACTTCCAATCCGTGCCCTCGGGGCTCTTGTACTCGTTCGCCCCGCGGATATCGCTCGCCGGATTATCCCCCACCATATACACCCTCTCCAACACCCCTTGCCCTAGCTCCCGGCCCCCCTTTTCCGGGTCTAGCCCAAGCACCGCCGCCCGGTGCGCATTAAGCACGCGCTCCGCAAACTCATACGTCGCCCCATGCGGCTTACCAATCGTAACGCGCTCGAGTTCCGCCGCGCCCCCCGTGACTTCGCGCCAGATCCCCGCGATCGCGGCCTGGAAGGCGCCCTGCCCGAGCCGCGGGTGCGGATGCGCCGCCGCCCAGAACAGATCCGGGTTCGAGAAGAAGAGGGCTGGTTGTCCGTCCCGCTGCCACCCGTTGTTCGGCAGATCTTTGAGCCCGTTGCGCGGGGAGTACGTTCCTAGGACGCCGTCTTTCGACATGAGCAAGTCGACGATGAGCTGGCTGTCGAGGGCCCAGTCGCGCGGGTCGTTGAAGACGAATATAGCGTCGATTTTGGGGTCTGGTGACGGTAACGGGCGTGCTGTTTTTGCGTAGAGTTCTGCCATGAGCGGGTTGAAAGGGAAGACTGTGGGGTGGGCCGCTAGGATATCCGCGGGGATGATGACGTGCCGGAAGCCGTACCGCTCGGCGATAACACGACATTTGGCAGCGTCGGAACCCGTGACAAGAACGTTCTTGTCGCGGAGGCCACCTTCGCGGCCATGGGCTAGCTCCTGGAAGGGCGTGTGCGACTGGATGAAGTTATCCGTAGACAACTCGACGCCAAGGCGAGCGCTTAAGTCCTCCACACGCTCCGTCTCATGCTTGCCGCCGCCGTTGGTCAGCAGGATGAACGGGATGTTGTGCTTCTGGAGGAACTCCAAGGTCTGCGTCGCGCCGGGGATCGGCTTTGAGACGTGAAGGAGGACGCCATCGATACTGTAAGTTATATAAGCTACCTGTTATTCTCTACCGGGGGTCTCCTTCTTTGGGATAGGATAGAATCCTGTTCTCTCACTTACTCAAAAGCGAAAGCGAAAGGCGGTGGTTTGGGGGCCTTATGATCGATGCTATAGGGACGACCGACGAAGGATCTAGGCTGTATAGACGACCGCACGTGGTTTACACCTATGCCTCGTCTTCGCGTAGAACAGCTGATAGACCGAAGCGGACACGACGGCGCTCGAGTAGTTGAGTGGAGTAAAGGAGTGTAGCCCGACACCGCGCCGCCAAGAAATGGGCGAGCGCGAAATACCTTCATCGTGAAGGATGAGGAGAGGGAGAGAGGCACTAAGGATCGGCCGTTGAATTTACCTACAAATCATATCTCACTTAGACTATAAATACCGTCACAATTGCCACATTCCCTTGCGATAGAGTTGGAGGTGATTAATTAATGTACGTAGTATGTAGTGTTAAGTTCAGATTCAAACCGAATTGATCATCGTAATAAATTGGCTGATTGGGTAAGTTCGACTCATTCATTCCAATGCGTTATCGAAATAAGTAGGACCGGTTCTTATCGGAGCTCCATTCCGGAGGCCGTGCAACTCGATAAATTCAATTAATGACCATCACCTTTAATGCATAGAGTAGGACTTTGTATTTTATATTTGAGGCGAAGATGGGTATTTTGTTAATGGCAATGGTAATCTTTATACAACGTAGAGGTGAATTATCCAGCCCAGGCTCGCGCATCGATTCCTGTTTTGTTTATACAATATACACAGCACGCCTTTATGGGTATGGGCAGAATTGATACATCATAGTATCAACCGAGTAACTAGATAATATCACAGGTCACTTATTTCTTCCAATCCTTTATATGATCCAATATAACCTTCGCCGCCTGCTCGGGGCTATGCTGGCGTCCCAGTGCCTCTACGAAGTCGCCCTCGGGGTCCATCAGGTAGAAGTAAATGCTGTGATCGACCAAATAATCCTGGCCAGGCTTGACGTCTCGCGGTGTGCTGAAGTAGACACGGTACGCTTTGCACATGTCCTTGATCTGCTCGTATGTGCCCGTCAACCCTATAAACCGCGGGTGGAACTCGGCTAGATACGACTTGAGCACCTTGGGGTCGTCACGCGCCGGGTCGCACGTCACGAACACGGGCGTCAGGGCTCCCGGCAACTTCTCCTCGACTAGGTCAAACATCCGCGCCATCTTGTCGAGTTCCTCCGGGCAGATGTCCGGACAGTGCGTGAATCCGAAGTAGACCTGTCGATAGGACGTTAGCTAGCAATTCCTTATACTGATACTCTACGCCAATTCTAATCTTCCTAGCAGAGGCAATAAAAACCCACCAGGGAATGTCGACCCTTCAAATCCCTACTCGAAAATGGTTTCCCATCCTGATCAATCAGATCGAAATCCCCTCCAACCTTAGGCCGCCCAACACCCTTGGTAGCCTCGGCCAAGCGCTTGCGCTGCATGCGCTGCTTCTCGTGCTCGAAGTACCATACGAGCCCCGCGCTCGTGAGCACGAACAGCAAGCCTGCCTTCCACGAGAAGGGCCCTGTCCGGTATCTACTAAGCGCCTCCTCCACCGTCTTCGACTTATATCGTCGCTGCTCCAAGGGTCGAGCGTTGGCTGTACATTGTTGCTGGGGGTGCGAGAGTACTGCGGTGGGTCGTCGCGGAGAGGATGTCGAAGTGGAGGGGGACGTCGAGAGAAAGCGGCGGCATTGTTGCGTTCGAGGGCGGGTTTGCAGAAGAGGCCGTATGAGCCGTTGCGGAGCTGCTATTGAATGCGACATCTTTGTAAACACCAGCACCTTACGGGTTGCGAGATCTGCGACTTGTCTATTCGATTTGGGCTGTTCGAGTAGGTACCTAGCTTAAAAATTATTGTATGGAGCTTCGACGAATGGTCAGTTGAGATAATTCCTAGGTCGGCTATTTCCGGGGTCTTGGCGTCTGGCCGAATACCTAAGGTACGCCGCTTGTGGTAGCTTCAGCCACATAAATACATGTACCTACATACGTATCTCCTAACCTTATATCGAATCTTATAGAGCTGAAGTACATTATGTAGACGTAACACAATCTTACCTTTAGGTCTTTACCACTCAATTCCAAAGCCGGATTGGCTGACAACCTACGTCAACCTCTTCGTTCAACAAGGATACTGAGACTATATAGAGCACATGTTCCGGAATGGAGGGGAACCGTAACGGCAAATTGCATTCCGTTGTCATCATCTATTATTAAACTTACAAAAGCCAGTTCGTACAATTTCTCTGCAGAGGAAGAGTGAGGCAAAACCTCGCCTATCCTCGAGTCTTCTCCTCGCCACCCCTTTCCTGCCGAGAACGAAACCGACGTTATTAACTCATTTTCGTTATGCACAGTTCGATAGGGGTCGTAAAGCCCTCCCCAAAAAAGAAACATCCGTCAATCATCAATACCTCTTTGCAAAGGTCAAGTGTTGGAAGTGAATAGTAAGATAAAATGCCCAATGCAAGTCGCAAGTCTTTTGTTTTTTTCGCAAATGCCGTCAGAATGCCCACCTGCCGAACCAAGACCATTTCCTGTACACTCCTTACACTACCCTCACCACTCAATATTACCCATACTCTGCTGAAAACGGAAACAGACCGGCGAACGCAGCTGCGTCGATCTTCGTCAATGCCTCCATACGCCGAAGGAAAAGCTCCGTCCTAATACTAGTAAGGAGGAAGCGAAGAAAAAGAATCTCCAGGTAAAATCATCAATGGATGAAGTCTTGGCTGGCATCGAATTGTTAGGAAATCCCATACGAACGCCAAGAGTATGCTAACACAAGCGAACGACTTGATGTCGTCCTTTAAAAGATCCGTGGTTACGGTTCTGGTATTTTGCGCAAACAAGAACAGGATTCGATGATGCATGTCAATCTCGGTGACTTTAGGTTGTAAAACAGGTTGAATCCGTATAAAGAGATCGGTACCATGTAAGCATTAAGGCCGGCTGACCTGACTCTGGCTCGCGCTCGTACGGCTACGCTCTTCCTCTTCCTCGAGCACGTCGCTCAAGCGTGTGGGGTGATGGTGACGCGGAACACTACCTACATCATCCCAAGGCCCCGAGTATCCGGCACCGCTATAATCCGGAGCTGCCGAGTACTGCGGTTGCTGTTGTTGTTGAGGTTGTTGAGAACCCGGGCCAGTCGGCTGATAGACGGCCGGCTGAGTAGCAGGGGTCTCGAACTCTTCTGCTGCAACGTCAGAACCCTGTGAAGCATGGGTACGGGTTGGATTGGTATGTGCAGAAGGATTGTGCTCTTGCGTGTCTCGGACGGGGTTTCTCGCTGCGCTATTGGCAATACCATTGATGTACTGACCTTCGCTGTAGGTTCCTTCGGAACCGTAGCTCTGCTGGTGCTGGACAGACGAGGGTGTCTGGAAAGCGGGATTATTATCACGCGATGCCGGAGCCGACTTGACCGCAGGGGCTTGAGAGTACTGAGGACGATCGGCGCTAGGCGAGGTATGCGACTGAGCATAATCCGCCGGCTCCGTTTGGTTGTAAGAGCGAGGGTCTCGCTGAGTGTGGCCGCGGCCCACACCTTGCGTCATCGGAACGACCTGAACACCGCCAACGATGGTGGGTTGGCCAAGCTGTAAAGACATAGTGCGATCACGCTCCTCTTGCTCCCGTCGTCCAAGTTCCTCCCACGCGCGCCTGGCTTCCTCCTTAGAAATGGTCAATTCTTTGCGTAGCTCATTTATCTGCTTCTGCATCTTGGAAGTGCCTTGCTCGTGCTCGACGGCGTCACGAATCGCGTCGGCTCTGCTTCTGCGTTCCTCTTCGAGAGCCGCCTCGAGCATACCAGTGACCTCTTGACATCGCTCTATCTCGGCGCGGGTCTCGAAGAACCAGCGCTGGAACTTACGCTCCGATGAAGCCCGTAGGCGTTGCAGTTCGACCACGGCATGGAACAGATTAGCACCTGCAGAAGAAAGGTCCGTCACTTGTCGTGATAGCTGCTGAGAGATAGGATCCTGGCTGATCTCTTGCGCACTCTGCTCCAATCTACGAATCCAAAAGCTAGTAAGGCCTTCCCAATGAGCTGACAAAGTTTCCCAGCGCTCAAATGCGTGAGGGAACGAGTTTCTACCTCGTCCGAGAGCTGTCGAAGTTTCGCCTAGCTGAGGAGGCTGCTGCTGTTGGGGTTGGGTTCCAGAAGGGCCGGCTGCTCTGGGGCCGGAAGAGGTGCCGGGAACTCCTTGCGTATCGGAAGTAGTTCGCCCATGTCGTGCCGACTGCGACGGTTGGGCTGCCGTAGGAACTCGCGGTTGTCCCGCTTGGCGGGCATTATTATCTATGGTTGTGCGACCAGGTGCGGCTGGCTGCGCGGGTCGTCGGGAAGTAGTGGGATCAGTGCCGGCGGGGACGGTACCAGCTCCATAAGGACCAGCGCCAGCAGCAGCGGCGGCTCGGCGCTCCGCATCTTTTCTCTCTGCTTCTCTTAGTTTTGCCTCTTCTAGCAAACGCATCTCGTTTTCGGCGTGTTCCTTCTCTAGGCGTTCACGCTCCTGCTCTTCGCGCTGTCGTTCACGCGCAGCCTCTCGCGCAGCTCTCTCCTGCATAATTATCCTAGGACCTCTAATTCCCGAAGGAGAGCCGACGGCTGCTCGCGCCGTAGTAGGTCGTGCCTGCGAAGCGCCATTGCCATTAGAGGTCGTAGGGCCTCTGCCTCCCATAAGATCGGCCATTGGCGAATATAGCTCGACCAAATCTTCCGAGATCTCTCTAGGGCCGCGTAATGTTTGCTCGAGAGCATACAAAATAGCGCTGTGAGTTTGCTTCGAGATGCGAAGGGCTGGGTGCGGTTCGGGTCTATTCGGGTCTGGAACAGGCCGCCTTGCCTCAAAAAGTGGCTCGGGAGGGCTGTTTGAGGTCGCTTCGGAATCGTTACTTAAATTCCCTTGGGAAAGCTGCCGTCTAGGCTGTTTTGGACGGTCTCTCCGAGCTTGCTGATCAGCACCCGCTAGAACGTAACGCCCTTGAGGCCCGAGAGTAACAGTAACTCGATTGACCGGCTGGCGCGCCTGTTGCGCGTCTGGCTGGGAGATAGGCGAAGCCGAGAAGCGCGGGGTCCTACGAAGTCGGTGAACTGAGGAAGGGGTAGCTGTGGATCTTCGATCTGGCGGAGGATGTTGAGGCGGTTGCTGGTGAAGTCCGTGCTGCTGGCGCTGGTGTGTTGGCGTAGAAATTTCGTAACGGTCGTGACGGTCGTAAGAAGATGCGGTAGACTTTAGTTCTGTCAACTTCGCTGTCGGTTCCCCACCAGCGCAATCCGAAGCCGAGTTCGACAATGTGAGCAGTCACCACAATCGTGGTGAGACACTCGCAAAAAGAATACGTCCTAACTATGCACCAAAACCATAAAAAAAACAAGCCAAAGCCTCGGCCTCGATTTAGGTAGCGCAAATATGAGAGGTTGGCTGCAAAACTTAGGGTGATGTGCAGATGTATGTAGGTAGGTAATGTGTACGACCAAGCAACGCAGCAGGGCTGGGCTTAGTCGAAGAGGAAAATGAGGGAATGCAAAGTAAGCGGGATTGTATAGTAGGTATCTTTAGGTAAGGGGGGATAGGAATTGGTACTTCCAGATTCAAGGGGAAAGGTGTTTGTTGTGAGGGATAGTAAGATCTAGTGATGGAGGTTGTAAAGAGGGAGGCTGGGCTAATGTGGAAAATACGGATGGCTGGTTTGTGTTTGAGGATAGATATAATCGCGACGACCCGGTCGGCGGGGATGCGTAACGGCGGTCTTCAAACGTGAGGTGAAGACGGTGAATATCGTTAGGGATAAAAAAGAGCGGAGTGTAACGCGTATTATGCGTATTATCGTAAATGTTGACGTCGAAGTCTTTTACAATTGTTTTTTTTTTTCTTTTGCTTCTGTCTCCCAGTCTCTCAGTCACCCGGTCTGCCGGTCTCCCAGCGCATCTCTTCCTAAATATCCTAGCAACCGGCTGCCCAAAATGTACCACCTACGTTACCATGCAAACCCAGCGGCGACAGCAGCGCCAGCGCTGCCCTGTCGCTGGAATAACTGCAGACTTAGCGAATGATAGGATTTTAGGGGGTTTGAATATTTGGATAACAAAGAAGTATTTGCTAGCATGTTTGCATTTCAATGGCTTATCGTTTAGGTAAGTAGGTAAGTAAATTTTAAGGAAAAAAAAACCTGGCTAAGATTAAGAGACGCTCCTTCTGGACACGACATTAAGACACGACACACGACTTGGAAGGTACGATTTAAGATGATTACCTCTTTTCTTTTCCGCTTTCTGCACGGTCCACTTTCTCTTTTCCAGTTTCCAGCTTCCAACTGGTCTTGCATCATTATCACCGTAGTATTAAGAGACATTAAGAGAGGTGACACGGAGATTATTCCAATATCTTATTTGTTTCAATAGGTTCCCTTCATCGTTGCTTCATCCCGTTTGTTGTATGAAGGACCCAATATGTATAACACACGCAGACGAGGTGGTCCTAGGATTACATGCATTCACTTGATTTCGCCGTTGGGATCCTTCAACAACCATTTTATATTGGACGAACTTTCTAGCTATTCGTTCAGTACTCGGTAGATGACTGGTCAGAATTCGATTGCATCCAAATTCCCATCTTAATGCGATAGGTAAGGTTATCGGGGTTTCAATATCTCTCCAATAGGTACCTACCTAGACATCGTCAAACTGGGTACCCTAGGTACTTTTACATAGCTCGAGGATTCCACGATAGTTGCAAAGCTGGGGAAAGGCTAGGGTATGACGTCGCAATAATCTAAATCTGCCCAGCTTTCATCGCACAGTGCACACTCTCACCAAGATCGCAGAAGTGATAATACCTAGGTAATACCCAGGAGACGGGAGCAAGGCAGGAAAATAAAATTCGGCGGGGGCTAGGATACCCGGGACATTTCCTGTCATCAACATCATGAGAATGTCATAAGGAAAAGGTGAAGGGGGAAAAAAAAATATCCAAAGTGTGCGTTGGCAGCTTGGTAACGAAACATTCCTTATTAGTGTCATGCAGGCACTGGCAGAGAGAAAAGTCCACTCGCCAAACGCTTA